GGCCCCCCCCCCAGCAGCCGTTCGGAAGTCCCCCGTGGCCGCCCACCCCTGGAGGCCCACCCTCCCGTCCCCCCGACGGGCTGTCCAAACCAAACACCCGTCCTCTCCCGGGGGAGCTGCGCACGGACTCGGAGAAGCGCTTCCTGGCGGAGAGCGGGCTGAGCTGGTTCAGCGAGTCGGAGGAGAAGGCCCCCCGGAAGCTGGACTACGACAGCGGGCAGCCTGAAGATGGAGTCGGGCGGCTCCAAGTGGCGCAGGGAGCGGGCCGAGAGCGGCGGCGGCGACGAGGCGGCCAAGGTCACGGAGCTGAAGAAGCCCATCAGCCTGGGCCACGCTGGGTCCCTGAAGAAGGGCAAGACCCCGCCCGTGGCTGTTACCTCCCCCCATCACCCACACGGCCCAGAGCGCCCTCAAGGTGGCGGGTAAGCCGGGGGCGGGGGGTCAGGCGGGGGCAGGGGCGGGGGCGGGGAGGGGGTCAGGCCGGCCTCTCTGGGGCTCCCCTCGCTCAGTGGTGGCCGGCCCCTGGGATGTGGGCTCGGTTCTCCGGTCAAGGGCACAGGGCTCGGCCGCAGGTTCAGGCCCCAGCCCTGGTCGGGGTGTGAGCGGGACACAACCGGTCGATGTCTCTCTCACGTCCGTGTTTCTCTCTCTCCGTCTCTCCCTCTCCGTTTCGCTCACTCTAAAACATCAATGGAAAAAAATACTCTTCCTCACTCCTTGGGTGAGAATTAAAATAAATACATGATAATAATAGAGCAGGGATTTTTCCTTTAAAAAGAGAAAGAAGCCCCGGCCGGTTTGGCAAAGTGGATAGAACGTCGGCCTGTGGACTGAAGGGTCTCGAGTTCGATTCCCGGTCGGGGCACAGGCCCGGGTTGTGGGCTCCATCCCCAGGGTGGGGCGTGCAGGAGGCAGCCGGTCCATGATTCTCTCTCCTCGTGGATGTTTCTGTCTCTCTCTCCCTCTCCTTTCCTCTCTGAAATCAATAAAAATGGATTTAGTTGGTTTTTTTTTAAGCCTGTTTGTGTTGTTGACGATCCCGCCTACTCTCACCTCACCTCCTGCCTCTCCCAGGCAAACCGGAAGGCAAGGCGGCGGACAAGGCCAAGCTGGCCGTGAGGAACACGGGCCTGCAGCGCTCCTCCTCGGACGCGGGCCGGGACCGCCTGGCCGACGCCAAGAAGCCGCCCTCGGGCATCGCCCGGCCCTCCGCCTCAGGCTCTTTCGGCTACAAGAAGCCTCCGCCCGCCACGGGCACGGCCACGGTCATGCAGACGGGCGGCTCCGCCACGCTTGGCAAGATCCAGAAGTCCTCGGGTATCCCCGTGAAGCCCGTGGGCGGCCGCAGACCAGCTTGGACGTGTCCAACGGCCCCGAGCCCTGGCTTCCTGGCGCCCGGCGCCCGGTCTGCCATCCAGTACCGCAGCCTGCCCCGGCCGGCCAAGTCCAGCGCCATGAGCGTGACCGGGGGCCGGGCCGGGCCGCGCCCCGTCAGCAGCAGCATCGACCCCAGCCTGCTCAGCGCCAAGCAGCCGGGCCTCGTGCCCTCCCGCCTGAAGGAGCCGACCAAGGTGGCCGGCGGGCGGGCCGTGCCGGCCCCTGTCAACCAGACCGACCGGGAGAAGGAGAAGGCCAAGGCCAAGGCCGTGGCCCTGGACCCAGACAGCATCTCCCTGAAGAGCATCGGCTCCCCGGAGACGACGCCCAAGAACCAGGCCAGCCTCCCGCCGGCCGCCAAGCTGGCCGAGCTGCCGCCCACCCCCGTCAGGTACCTGCCCGGCCGGCCGCCGCCCCTGTCCGTCTTGCTCCGCCTCGGTCACAGATCCCGCACGCCCTGGGCTGGGAGGCCTGGCCTAGCTGCTGTGCTCTGGGTTAGGGTTAGAGGTTAGAGGTTAGGGTTTAGGGATTAGGGTTAGGGGTTAGGCTTAGGAGTTAGGGTTAAAGGCATGGGGTTAGGGGTTACAGTTAGGGTTAGGGTTAGGGTTAGGGTTAGGGTCAGGGTCCCGGTCTCTCCACCACTCCCTGCATCCCAGTTCCTTCTCCCTCTTCCAAAACTGCCTTCAAAGTTCCTTGTTGGTGCTGTTCCCCATCGGCCCCCGCCTGTCTCCAGCACCTGGGCGGGTGGTTTCGACACATTTATTCACAGTCATCACACACCTGTGCTGTCCCCACTCTAAGACTCGAAGGGGCCCGGCCGGCGTGGCTCCGTGGTTCAGATTCAACCCATGAACCAGGAGGTCACAGTTCGATTCCCAGTCAGGGCACAGGCCCGGGTTGCAGGCTCCATCCCCAGTGTGCGGGGCGTGCAGGAGGCAGCCGATCCATGATTCTCTCTCATCATGGATGTTTCTCTCCCTCTCCCTTCCTCTGAAGTCAATAAAAATATACTTAAAACAGGAAAAAAAGGCTCGAGGGGATCCCAAGCCGGATATCGGGGTCCCTTCCGGCCTCTGTCGCTGGGATAAGCCCCCGGACTCAGCACGAAGCCAGGAAGGAAGGAATCCGGACGGGGACTTCCCCAGGATCTTGTCCGCCTCTGGCTTCTCTGGCTCCTTTATGCTAAACGCTTCGTTTCGTCTTCCCGCCTCAGGGCCGCGGTGAAGAGCTTTGTCAAAGCCGCCCTCGCTGGCCAACCTCGACAAGGTCAACTCCAACAGCCTGGACCTGCCCCCGCCGGCCGGCGACGCCCTCGCCCCGAAGCTCCCGGAGCTGCACGCGGCCAGCGCGGCCACCGGGGGCCCCCTCACGTCCTGCTTCACCCCCAGCCCGGCCCCCATCCTCAACATCAACTCCGCCAGCTTCTCCCAGGGCCTGGAGCTCATGAGCGCCTTCAGCGTCCCCAAGGAGCCCCGCATGTACCCCAAACTCTCCGGCCTGCACAGGAGCATGGAGTCCCTCCAGATGCCCATGAGCCTGCCCGGCGCCTTCGCCAGCAGCGCCCCCAGCCCCGCCCCGGCCGTGCCCCCGGCCGCGCCCCCGGAGGAGGAGGAGGCGGAGGAGCTGGCCTGGAGCGGGAGCCCCCGCGCCGGGCAGGTGGACAGGTGGGTGGACAGGGGCAGAGCTCGGTCTGAATCCGTCCTGAGTCCCGGCTCCCCCAGCTGTCAGCGGGGAGGTCCCAGGTGTGGTGGCCACTTTCAATTTTTTTAAAAAATATATTTGTACTGATTTCAGAGAAGGGGGAGGCAGAGAGAGAGAGAAAAGCATCAAGGATGAGAGAGAATCATGGATCGGCTGCCTCCTGCACACCCCTCATTGGGATCCAGCCCGCAACCCGGGCGTGTGCCCTGACTGGGAATCGAACCCTGACCTCCTGGTTCCTAGGTCGACGCTCAACCACTGAGCCATGCTGCCCGGCTGGAATGTGTGGTTTTTAACCGACATTAAGTAATGTCACCTGCTTCCCAAATCCCTGAAATAGGAAGGACGCTGTTTGGTTTTTAAATGAGTGTCTTATCGAGAGGAAGACCGGTGCACCCGGACCTTGGATGGCTTAACCCCGATCGCCTCGCTAGCCCCATCCGGTGTAGGTCAGGGTTAAAGTGTCGGCCCGAGGACTGAAGGGTCGTGGGTTCGATTCCCTGTCAAGGGCACGTGCCTCGGTCGCTGTTTCCCCAGCCCTGGCCGGGACCCGTGCGGGAGGCAACCAATCGATGTGTCTCTCCCGTTGATACCTCCCTCTTCCCCTCCCTCTCTCTCCCGCTGCCTCCTCCCTTTCTTTAAAAAAAAAAAAAAAGATTACATAACTAGCTTGACCTGTCACCAGAAATCCTTTGCTTTCTATGACATCATTTCTATGACATCATTTCTATGTCATCATGGCCTGGTTTCATCCGCCATAGCATGACCTTCTCGGTAGCTCCCACACCCTGCTTTCCGATCAGAGGAAAGCATTGAACCGTTGAGATGAATTCCTCAGCTGGGGGGCTGTCTTCCGTTGTTTGTAGAGATAGTGGGGCCAACAGTCTGATTATCTGCGTTCAAGTCCCTCGAACCCAGGGCCCGGGACGCAGGCCTCTCGGAGGAGCCCACACGCTTCTCTTGCTTTTCCTCCACAGTGGCCAGCGGGATCGGAACACGCTGCCCAAGAAGGGGCTCAGGTAACTCTGCTGCCTGCCCCCCGCCCCCCAGGCTCCTGAGGGCCTGGGGAGCTCGCCCAGTCACCCCAGCTGTGGTTCCCTCCTCGGGGCCCCCTCCCTGCTCCCCTTTCTCCTCCTCCTGCCTCGGGGCCTCCACGCCAGCCCCACCTCACCCCTCTTGGCCTCGTCCGTCCGACAGGTACCAGCTCCAGTCCCAGGAGGAGCCCAAGGAGAGGAGACACTCACACACCATCGCGGGGCTGCCCGAGCCCGAGGACCAGGCCGAGCTGCCGTCGCCTCCCGCGCTGCCCCTGTCCCTCAGCGCCAAGGGCCAGCTCACCAACGTCGGTCAGTGTCGCAGCCTCGAGCCCGGCACGGGGTTGGGGAGGGGTCCGATCGCCGTGAGGTGCCTGAGTCTATTCACCCAAAATGAGCCGGAGACAAAGTCTTTCAGATCCCGACCGGCAGGCTGCCCCCGGGGAGGCGCTGTGCATCCTCGTAGCTTCGGGGTCTGAACGAAGGCAGGGGAAGCCGCAGACCCCGGTGTGGCGGCCACTCCCAGGGCGGAGCCCATGCCCAGGTGTCCTCACTGGGCTGTGGGGCTGCAGGGAGGAAGGAGGGACGGCCGGCTGACGGCCCAGGACGGGATCTGCCTCCAAACCCGGAGAAGCCCAGGGTCCCTCACGCCTGGGCTGGCCCAGCACCGTCCCTGCCTCTGACCCTTGCCGGCCACACCCTTTCTGAGGCCAGGCGAGAAGGAAAGATTGATTCTCTTTTTTAAAAAAAAAAATATTTTTATTGATGTCAGAGAGGAAGGGAGAGGGAGAGAGAGAGAGAAACATCCATGAGGAGAGAGAATCATGGATCGGCTGCCTCCTGCACGCCCCCCACTGGGGGTTGAGCCCGCAACACGGGTATGCACCCTGACGGGGAATCGAACCATGACCTCCGAGTTCCGTGGTCGGCAAACCGCGGCTCTCGAGCCACATGCGGCTCTTTGGCCCCTTGAGTGT